ACGTAAAAACTGGGAATAGAGTTACAACACTGCTGCTTAGAGTTACTTTAGGCTTTAGTTTTAGCCTTGGATCTGGACTTTTGCAACACTGGTGCCTGTACCGCTGGGAGAAGGGAGAGGGGGTGGTGGAAAGGGGGAGGGGGGGAAAGGGGAGGGAGGCCGGATCCGCCTATGGTTGTTATGATATTTCTGCTCCTGTTAAAGAAAGGTATCGCTCGGAAGCAGTTCTACGAGAAGCATCTATTCCTGAAAATGCTCTTCCTGGCCCGACACTTCCAACTGCAGAACAGCAATCTCGAGAAAGGCCCCAGCAACAGATGCAACCCTTTTATGCAGCTGCCGATTTTACGCCGAATCAATACGTCGTTAGTCCGGTCCCAGGTAGGTTTTTTGTGTCGTTTTTCTAGTGCTGTTGTTGCTGGATTTTCCCACTTTTACATATTTTGCAGAGCAACCAGTTTATGCAGTTGTCCCGCCGTATTATCGCTATGCTGCGCCAAGCGTCCCGATCGTAAGTTTTTTTTTTTGGTACTTCATAATGCCAGCTTCATTGTTATAATTTCAAAAACTGGCTGAACTTCGACATGAAGATACAGGCTGCGAATGCTAAAGTTCTTATTCAGGGTATAATTTCAGTTGAGTATTTAGCTGTTTTTTCATTGTTGTGTTTCTTGCGACTGGTGCAGCTGGCAACTTCTTCATTCTTCACAGTTTTGGGCTTTTCTCATCCACATAATTCTACGCAAGCTTCTGATCGGACCTTTCTACCACAGAGGCTGCATCCCTTGTGTTCTTTTAGCATTGCGTTGGCGCCATTTTTTGAATCGTTTTATTCTTCTGCGGTCTATCGTCTGGCTACATGAACGGTTGAACAGTTTTTTATGGTGCCACCGATGCGGGAATGAAATCGCAGTACTTTTTATAGCGAATATGCTACACCTTGCTGATACCTACTAGACATCGTTTCAAGGGCATTTATCGCTAATTTTATTATTTTTTGGCGGATGTTTGAGCCTTGTGGGAAGTTTTTATGAAACCGGCAAAAACCCGATTTACTGATGAAAAAAAACTATAAAGTTTTTATTCGAGATTCTGTTTTGAACAAGCGTTTTTCGCTTTTCAGCAAAAACTGCCGCAGCAAATGGAATCATTATGCTTAACGGATTATCCAGCAACATTTGCAGCTTCACCAGTGCCGTACATGGTTTCTCCTCCGCCAGCACAGGCTGTTTATCCACAACAGGCAACTACTTTTCGAATCGCAAAAATTGGCTCCCCGTATTAATACTAATTGAATACAGGGCATGCTGTATCATTAGCAGAAAAAATTGGCTTGAAAGGCGTTTCGTAATTATTAGTGTTTTTATGCGTTTTTTGCAACTATGCAATGCAAAAACGCATATTGACGAGGGGTTGTCTGTGCGTCCGTGTGTCTGTGTGTGTGTCTCTCCAGATTTTTCATCTCAAGCCCTATAAAAGCTGCAGGGCTGAAATTTTAGGAACTTAATCTACATGCACGTACGGGCTCCAGTCTCCAAAATGGGCACCATTACCCGCGTGGTACCTACGGAAGAGCACGCCAAAATTTTTTACCGGTAACTTCATAACTCGAGGATCTGAGAAGCTAGAAAGCTGAAATCTTAGGGTAATGTTCCTCGTCCACGTAGGCATTAATGAACTCAAACCCATCCTCCGGGTAAGCGTGATACTCATGCACGGGCCCGCCAATGTTTTTTTCGGCTAAGTTGATAACTCGGGAATTTGAAAAGCTAAAGGGCTGTAATTTTAGGAAGATATTCCCCGTTCGCCTAAGTCTTACCGAGACCAAACCCAGACTCCGGGTACGCGTGGTACCCACATACGGGCTCGCCAAAGTTTTTTTTCGGATAAGTTGCTAACTCAGGAGCCAGGAAAGCTAGAAAGCTGAAATTTTAAGAGGTGTTTCCTAACAGTTTGGCGGCCAATCTTAATTTGTTTAGCTAGAAGCATTTGCCGAAAAAACTGGTGCCGGTACCGACAAAAACTGCGGGGAACTATGCAAAAAACGCATCTTCGCACGGGCAGTCCGTGCGTTGGCCGATTATTCTTCTATTGCAGTTTGCGGTACCATCACAGGTCAGCGCCGTCTATTCGCCACAGCCTTATTTTGTACCAGTTTTGCCGAGAAATTATGGTACCTTTTTCAGTTTATTGTCACACTAATAACTTTGCAGATTTAGCTACTGCTTTTTTTGGGCATAAAATTGGTGGCTTATCAGATTTTCATGCATTTATGCAAATGAGATAATTTCCCATTCTGTGTGTATCTATTGCTGTGTATGTATGTATGTGTGTGTGTGTGTGTCCAGACAATTTGACTTCAGGAGCACACCTTATACTCTCTGTATTTACAGCTTAGGAATGAAGCACAGGCAGACAAACTTTTACATATCCTTCTTTACATGACTTTTACATTTCACACGGCTTACATATCATATTAACGACTCCATTATCTTTCCTATTATATTCCATTAGTTAATCCCCCCCTCCCTCCCCCGTCTCCCCTCTCATCCCATTAAAATTAATGGGTTTTTGCCGTTCCGTGTTTTCCGTGGCTCGGACTGGCTGTTACTTCAGAACTTTTGATTCGGCCTGTTAATGGCCGAAAAAAATTTTTTATCAATTCAGCGCAGTTCGGCCGCCTCACTTGGACCGTCCATTTTTCATCCAGCCATCTCCCTTACACTTCAAGAACTACAATGATTATTTTAATTGCACATTTAAATCAGCTCAGTAACAGTTGCATACCTGTAGTCGCTGGGACAGTCGGGAAATGATTTCGTGTTAGTGATGTTACTGAGATGAGCTCACTTTCCGGGTGTAGTTGTTTCATACTTACAGATCTTGAGCTGCAGTGACTCTAGCTTGCATAGGCGGATCCAGGGTGGTTTCCCGAGGGAGGGGTTTTCTACCTCCCCTTCTCCCTTCATTTTCTCCCTCTCCTCCTCCTCCCCTACCTTCTCCTGCTCTCTCACCAATGGGCACTAAATTGAGGCTGACAAGGTTCCTGGGGGAGGGGGG